ATTCATTAATTAAAAACATAACGTAACAATTATAAAACTGTCGTAAATAGAAAACCTCAATAAAAACACTCGATTACAGATAAGATTTAGTATAAAATTTGAAAAAACCTCTATTATTCAACTATATTAGGTTAATAGTGAGTAGATAACAATAAATGATCAACAAACAACACTCGTAAATGGAAAATACACAGAATATAATTCAAAAAAAAAACCTCGACAAAAACACTTGATCACGGTAAAAATAAAGTATTATCAACTTAAAATCATTCATTAATTGTTTTTATTTCAAAAATTGATAACGAAATGTCAAATACAAGTGTAAACTTCATTTATGATTGTTGTAAGTTCACATAAAAGATCACGAAATGCATCAAATTTTATATTGATCTGAAGCATTTGTTTTTGCAAAATTAGTCATTGACGATATTTTTTACTTTATCAAGCTTTTTCTGTTCGATTCAACAATTATGGATGAAGATTTACGGTTTTCAAATGTATATAAATACTAAATACAAGTACATATATTTTTAAAAATATATTTATATTATTAAAAATATTTTTATATATTTAAAAATGTGTGTATAAAAGATTATTATACATTTAAAAATGTATTAAAATGTATAAAATATTTTTATACAATTAAAAATGTAATAATAATAATAATAATAATAATAATAATAATAATAATAATAATAATAATAATAATAACGACAACAATCAATGTAAGGGTAAATCCGAACATTTTTGAAAAACTTAAGGGTAAATCCAAACATTTTTAAAATTTCAAAGGCTTTAATGGTACTAGGTAACCAATAGATTACCTGGAAACCGGCTACAATAGTAAAAATGAACAAATTAAACAAAACTTCGGGCTTTACTTGACATAAAATACGTTCAAGTAGGGCTGTAAACGAACTGAACGTTCGGCGAACCGTTCGTGAACTGTTCGGCGGGAAGTTCGTTTATTTAATAAATGAACGAACATTAACAAAAATTATCGTTCGTTTAGTTAAATGAACGAACATGAACAATGGTCTTGTTCGTTCATTTATGTTCGTGAACGTTCGTTTACGATGTTCGTTTACGATGTTTATTTACGTTCGTTTATGTTTGTTCGTTTAAGTTTATTTATATTCATCTATATTCAATTATTTTTTTATTATATTGTTATATTATATGTTCGTTTATGTTCATATATATTTAATTGTGTTTTTTTTTATCTTTGTTCATTTATGTTTGTTCGTTTATGTTCGTTTAGCATGTTCACGAACATAAATGAACAAACATGAACAAAATAATTTGTTAAACGAACGAACATAAACAAGAAAATCTTGTTCGTTTATCTATTCGTGTTCGTTTGCTGTTTGGCTAACTTAAACGAACGAACATGAACAAGACCTTGTTCGTGTTCGTTTGGTTCGTTTACAGCCCTACGTTCAAGAGTAAAACCGATATTTTACTAAAACTTAAGGGCTTTTATGTCATTTTCTCAAAAAATAATTAGGAGCACTCTAACCACTGTAATTAAGTATTTTTTTTTAAATAGTAATTTGGTGAAATGGATAAAGCTATAAGTTCCTGTACCATTCTTAATAACTCAATACCCAATTTCACAAGCATGAAATCTGTATTTTGAGACATATAGAAACGTTAATACAAGGTAACATGTTTCTTTGCTTTTCTTTTCTGGGTATGTGCATAATTTTCTTTTCAGTATCACCTTCATTTTGTTTCTTATAACTTCCCTTACGTATATGAAATCTACAAATAGTAATGGACAACAACTCATGAAATAAACTAAGAATTTGTATATCAATTCAAGAACAATACTCACTGGGACATGTATTCAAATAGTTGCCATGCGATGTGAATAAAATGAAAAATTTATTTGTTTTGGGAATTTTATAGAGCAATAATATATAAAATAACCAAATTTATAAGCTTAATGCACCAATCAGATTGTTGTAACAGAAAATTTACATGAAAACTTACATATTTAACAAAGCAAATGCCTAAACAATTGTAGACCCACCAATAAATTAACTCATACAATCGATAAGATGAAAAAACAGTAAGAAATAAACATATTAAATGTTAAAAAAACAATTAAATCTTTTACACACGTACCCAAATATACCCAAATATGTGAAGAAGAAAGTGTTTAACAGAACTGTCAAGATTGAAGTAAAGTTACAACGTACAAATATACCCAAATATGAAAAACTATCATTTATAGCATATTACATGACGATAAATTAGAATATATTCACACTAACCTGATATGTGTTTATGGAAGCGTTGCAGGATTAAGAGGCGGAGGATGATTATGCAGTAAACCTGGTACCGCCAGGAAGGATTGAAGAACTTATGTTAGCAACTTCAATGATTGAATAAATTATATTAAAAACAGTGAGGAAGAACTGAAGAAGAATACAGTTTGCCAAGAATTCTTTGAAGCAGAATCGTCAACACAAAAGAAGTGTATAGATGATATACTTGTATATATTTCGGTATTTGATAATTCGGTGCAAATTTTTTGGGATTTAATCACTGGAAATATCAAATCGGGTATTTTGAATTATAAATTTGAATAACCAATTTTTTCATATTATTTGAAAATCTTTTATTCATTAAAAAATTTTGATTGCATTTTTTGAGTGCTAACTTTTTCCGGATTTATTGCCTCTATTTGAAGTGACGGACATTTACGTAAATTGCCCTAAAGAAAAGAAACGGGAAAACTCTATTTTGAGGATTTGAGAGATTGACACGTGATACTATTCTACTTATTTGTTAGGATAGGAGATTGTATCCAACTTTTCGTGACCTCAACACAAAGGCACCATCCTCCTACTTTAGTTTTCTTTTTTAAATGCTCACAACATTTGTTCCTTCTAGTTGATTATTTGCTTATTCAAGAATTTGGAACAAAAAATAAATGGGAATTTAATTTAATATTTATACATGATTTTATTTAAGTTATGTTTACTTTAAATTATTTTTGAGTTACAAACTTGCAATGTGTTGTGATCAAATGTAGTTATGTCAACTCAAATAAATAAAAACTTATTATTTGGTTTATAGCAAGTTTTAAATAAACACTTGCAACTTATTCGGTATTAATTTTTATATAATAATAATAATAATAATCACTTACTCATATTCAACTAGATTATTTATTAAAACCATTCAGAGTGGAGCAAACCGTACACCACGACAGTAGTTCGGTACAACAATGAACACCACACTGACTAGATGCAGGGTGGTGCGATGTCCATCCTGCACAAGACCATCTTGTCGTATATTTTTCCTATTTTTTGTTCTTTTAATTCATTATTAAATCATATATATATATATATATATATATATATATATATATATATATATATATATATATATTCAAAAGTTATAAAAAAACATATATCAAAATTTATAGTTTTTAATTTCTTACAAATAAAATATAATATTGATATATTATTTATATTTTAACATATTTTATATAAAATGAAATTGTGATAAAACCATTTCTTATTAGTTTTGTTGGGTGAAAAATTATAAAAGGAAAATAACATACCAAAAAAATATGATAATATGAGTTACCATACTATTTCGCTCTTGAATATTGATATATTAGTTTATAACCTGTGAGAATCACAGTTATAAAATTAATTATATTTTCATATTAAAACTTAAAATTATTAATCACTTATTTCAAATAAAATATCTTAAATAACTTATTAATTAAGAGATATTTTTTTAGTTATATAAAATTATAATCGTTGATTTAAATACATATATGAAATTATATCACCATATAATATATATATTTATTTTATTTTATTTTTATTCTAATATTATTAATTGAATGTAATTAAAGTGTGAAATTTGAAATTTAAAATTTGAAATAAAGAATTAACTATTAATTTAATCTAATTAGAGTGAAAATTTTAAAAATTAAAATTTAAAATGAAAAATTAATAAATTGACATGTAACATGATATGTGACATATGATATTAATAAGAATTTCCAATATTAAAATATTTGTCAATAGAAGAATAAACTTATTAATTTATTATAATAGATTTATTAAGGTAATTAACTTTTCGGTTTGTTCACATCTGGGTAATTATATAAAAAATAAATACATAAATAAGAAAATTAATTAAAAATGGCACAATAGTCTTTTGAGGTAACATAGAGATCAAATGCACAATAAAAATAAATAGTAGGAATAATCCGAGTTAAAAAAAAATAAGTTAAGTACCAAACACAAAAATTATCCAAACCACAATGACCATTCGTATAATTTACTTTCACATTTTCTGTTTGTTCAAATATAGGTAATTACTTTTTTGTACACATCTAGGTAATAGATTTTTTGAAAGTGTTCACATATGACCATTATGACCGCCTATAACCGGATGTAACCTGCTATAGCCGGATGTAACCTGCAGGTCATAATGATCATTTGTGAATATTTTCAAAAAATTCGTTACCTAGTATAAAAAAAATATAATTACTCAGATGTAAAGAAACGAAAAAGTTAATTACTTTCAGAGGTTCATTTCCCCAATTTCGTAGTTTTAGAAAAATAAATTGTAGTGCAACTAATAAGGAAAAAAAACGTATATGTTGAACCCAAAAATCAAGTGGGAAATTTAGTTTTCCCAACTGCTTTTAACAACTCCGGAGACAACCAGTCAACCCTCATTCATTCTTTCCCAATTCTCACCAATTCAACCTAAAACCCTAAATTCCATACACTCTCTCTTTCTAGATTGAGTGTCCCCTTCAATTCTGCACCGAATTTCACTTTTCGATGGAGAAAAAGTTATACAATTAATACACAGAAGTTTCTTACTTCAACAAACTACCCTCTCTTTTCAAGCCTTCAAAGTTGTTGAGAAAATGGGAAATTTTCCGAACGCCTTTACCTTAAATCCCCCACAATTCTCAACCGTCTTAGTATGGTTTGTTCAATCAATTCATTACGACAATGTGGGATTCTCTTGGAAACCTCTTCGTGAGGACGCAGGATAACGACGATGAAGCGCTCAAATTGGCTGCATTGCAGAGGTCTCCGACTTTTGTTAGGGCTAGAACTTCTGTGTTTAGGAATTTCGGAGGTGAGTTTACTCTTGTTGATGTTAGTAAGCTTGATGCTGAAGAGAAGAAGGTGGTGTTGGATAAGTTGGTGCATACAGTGAACTCGAACCCTGGGCTGTTCTTTGATAGGATTCGACAGCGATTCGATAAGTAAGTTTAGTTTACCAAATACTTCTTCTCTGTTACTTTTATGTTTAGCATTGACAACATGAATATGTTATATTCAAGACATTTTTTTTTGGGAGAAATAAGACATGCTATTCATGTTCATCTCCAGTGTTGATCTAAAATTTCCAAAAGTGGAGGTGCGATTTGAAAACCTGGAGATAGATGCATTCATTCATGTTGGGAGCAGAGCTTTACCCACCTTGCCCAATTCTGTATATAACATGAGTGAGGTAGATTTTTTACAAATAAACTCGTGTTTCTGTTTATTTATCTTTAGATTTATTCTGTTGCATATTTGATGTTAATATCTGATATATTACCCTGTAATTCCTTTGCAAGGCTTTCTTGAAAAAGCTGAGGATTTTTCCTGGCAGAAGAAAGAAATTAAGCATTTTAAATGATGTTAGTGGCATCATTAGACCTTCAAGGTAAACTTTTCTCAACAATTTACTTAAATACCCTCAAAAGTCAAAACTAGTCAATGTTAACATGATGTTAACTTGCAGATTGACTCTCCTCTTGGGTCCCCCAAGCTCTGGGAAAACAACACTGCTTTTGGCTCTTGCAGGACGCCTTGGGAATGGATTAAAGGTGTCTAAAATTTGTTTAGTTTTGTGAAGAATTAATGTTCATATTTATGATGAAATTTAAAAAATTGTTGCATTTTGTGAAGTTATCTGGCAAGATCACATATAATGGACATGAATTAAAGGAATTTGTGCCTCAAAGAACCTCTTCATATGTTAGTCAGAAAGATTGTCATATGGCTGAGATGACAGTTAGAGAGACTCTTCAATTTGCAGAATCTTGTCAAGGTTTTGGTTATAAGCAAGGTAAACTCAAGGTGATCATACCATTTTTTTTATGTCTTTTAGTAGATTTTGTTCCAATATATTCTATTTCAACTTCCCTAATGCATAAATATGGTAATATGATAACTTGATACAGATATGATTATGGAGCTTCTAAGAAGAGAAAAGAATGCTGGAATTAGACCAGATGAAGATCTTGATATATTTATAAAGGTGCATTTTTTTTTTGTGCTAATAATTCCTTAATTTCCTTCAAGACTGTGTAACTTTATCTTTAATAAAGTTTATATTTATTTTTTCCTATAGACAGTGGCACTTGGAGAAGATAAGACGAGTCTTGTTGTGGAATACCTTATAAAGGTACACTTTTTAATGGTTTCAATTTAGAATTAATCACAAAAATGATCAATATTGGTAAGTTCATATAAACAATGACCTTTTGGAAATTTATTACAAATTGACCACTTGTTTCATGATTTTTTTGCAAAATACCTTTCTTCATCATTTTGCTTTTTCAGTGGTCCCCGCATCATAGTTCACAAAATATTAATCTTTTCCACGAAAATGACATCAATAATGTCATTTCAGGAAAATTAATTCACGAAGCTATTTATTTATATTCTTAATTTTCTTTTTCCAAGGTGGTCATTTTGTGATAAATGTTAAAAAGCTAGTCATTTGGTGTAATACCCTTTACTTCTTTTGATCATTTTTGTGATTAACTCGTCAATCTATGGTTTTTATTTTTTAATTATCATATTGTACTTCAATTTAAAGATAAAATCCTGACATGTATACAAAGATTTTAGGATTGGATATATGCACAGATACACTAGTAGGAGATGAGATGCGTAAAGGCATATCTGGAGGTCAAATGAAACGGTTGACTTCAGGTAAGTAAAATAGTAAATATTCCATTTCATTTAACTTTTACTATTTTTGTAAATTGATTAATAATTCACCATTAATTTACACAGGAGAACTACTAGTAGGGCCCTCAAGGGTTCTTTTCATGGATGAGATATCAACAGGGCTAGATAGTTCAACCACATATCAAATCATCAAATATCTTAAGCATTCAACTCGTGCCCTTGATGGGACAGCTGTCATCTCCTTATTGCAACCAGACCCTGAGACATTTGAGCTTTTTGATGACTTGATTTTATTATGTGAAGGTCAAATTGTCTACCAAGGACCTCGTAATGCTGCTCTTGGTTTCTTTGCTTCTATGGGCTTTCATTGCCCAAAGAGAAAAAACGTTGCAGATTTTCTTCAAGAGGTATAATACTTTCCTCACAACATTATCTTATGACAATTCCAGTTTTTCAAACTTGAACTTTGTACACATTCAGGTTACATCAGTAAAAGATCAAGAACAATATTGGGCACTCGATGAGCATTACAGTTATGTTTCTGTTGAGAAGTTTGTAGAAGCATTTCAATCAAATTTCCTTGGTCGATCTTTATCACGTGATTTATCTCTTCCATTTAACACACATCATAATCATCCATCAGCTCTTTCTACCTCCACCTATGGTGTTAACAGAATGAAGCTACTCAAAATTAGCTTTTCATGGCAGATGTTGCTACTAAAACGTGATTCATTTGTTTATATCTTCAAATACTTTCAAGTAAGTTGTTAATCTTTGTGATTTTTTAACAAAGATAAACAAACTGTTTATTGTGGATTATTAATCTTTTGTTTTTTCAGCTTATGTTAGTTGTTATAATCATGACAAGTGTGTTTTTTCGTACAACAATGCATCACAATTCACTTGAAGATGGAGGTGTTTATCTTGGAGCTCTTTACTTTGCAATAGTTATGATTTTGTTTAATGGATTCATGGAGGTTCCAATGTTGATAGCTAAGCTTCCTGTTATCTACAAGCATAGAGATTTACATTTCTACCCCTGTTGGGTTTACACACTTCCTTCATGGATTTTAAGTATTCCATCATCAATTATAGAATCCGGTGTTTGGGTAATTGTCACATACTATCTTGTTGGGTTTGATCCTCAATTTTCTAGGTATATTTTCAAGATTCCATTTTTCTTACTTTTGTTATGTTGACATCTTATTAAAATAACATATTTTCTATATGTAGATGTTTGAAGCAGTTTGGATTGTATTTCTCTTTGCATCAAATGTCAATAGGGCTTTTTCGTATGATGGGATCTTTAGGAAGAAATATGATAGTTGCTAATACTTTTGGATCTTTTGCTATGTTGGTTGTTATGGCACTTGGAGGATTCATACTTTCTAGAGGTATAAAATATAAATATAATTATTTACATCTCTCAATATTATTATTACTAAATCAAATTTTAACAATTATGAATGTAGATAGCATTCCTGCTTGGTGGATTTGGGGTTATTGGGTTTCCCCTTTGATGTATGCTCAAAATGCGGTTTCTGTGAATGAATTTTTAGGAGATACTTGGGATAAGGTAGTTATATCCCTTAAACTATTTGTGTTTTGCACTTAAGATTTTATATTTTTTTACAAAAAAAGATTTAAAGATTCATGAAATGTAGGCAAGTGGAAACAACACAAACATCCCTTTGGGGGCATTGTTATTAAAAGTGAGAAGCTTGTTCCGAGAAGATTATTGGTATTGGATTGGAATTGGGGCTTTACTTGGTTACACTATTCTATTCAATATTCTCTTCACTTTATTCCTTACGTATCTCAATCGTAAGTTTTTATTCTTTATGTGTGATTTAATTATCTTGTATTAGGCTCTAACAATATTATTATTTTATTTTTTTAAATAAAGCTATTGGAAATCAACAAGTGGTTATCCCTCGGGAAAATACAAAGTCACAGAAGAAAAGAAATGGGCTTGTGTCCGCTATTATTGAGTTAAAAGGTTACCTACAATGTTCACCATCATATCCAGGTTTGTGAGGGAAAATTTTAATAATAAATATATATATTTTAGGGTTAATATTAAAAAATAAATAAAAAAACCCTTATGTTGTGTGTTTTTTCCAGATTAAACCTCAAATTTATTTTTCCGGAAAAAAACTTTGTATTTTTTCATTTTTTACGAAGAGTTAATTTCAATAAAGACCTTATATTTTATGTTTTTTTTTTTTTCAGATTAAACCTCAAATTTATTTTTTGCCTGAAAAAGATCTTGTTTTTTTTTTTCATTTTTCCCAATCTAGCTCTTTTAGTCATTTTTTGCGAAAAAATTTGTAAAATGTGAGGGTTTTTTTCGAGAAAAAATATAAAAAGTTGAGGGTTTATTTGGAAGCATTTAGAAGGTTGAGGGTTTTTTTCCGGACAAAAAAAAAAAAACAAAGTTGAGGGATTTTTCGGTAAAAATGAAAAAATACAAGGTCTTTTTCAGGCAAAAAAATTGAGGTTTAATCTGGAAAAAACACAAAACGGAAGGTCTTTTTTAAGATTAACCTTTTATCCGAAAAAGCCCTCAACTTTGTATTATTTTCCAATTCAAAAAAAAAAACTCAACCTTCTTAATGCTTCCAAATAAACCCTCAAACTTTTTAGTTTTTATTGAAAAAACCCTCACATTTAACAATTTTTTTGGAAAAAAATGACTAAAAGGGCCAGATTGGAAAAAAATGAAAAGTACAAGGTCTTTTTCAGACATTTTTTTTTGAGGTTTAATCAGGAAAAAAAAACATAAAATATAATGTCTTTTTTGAGATTAACCTATATTTTATTAGATCAAAATTTAACCTTTCTGTCATTTTACTGTATTAGATACTGAAGTCAAAAACCAAAGAGGAATGGTTCTTCCATTTCAAGCACTCACAATGACCTTCCGAAACATTAGTTATTACGTGGACATCCCAGGGGTATATCAGTAATTCAGTAATCTTTACTTTCCAATTTTCATAGTAACAACAAAATTTTAAATCCTCCATTGTTTTGACATTTATAGGAGTTGAAGCAACAAGGTCTATCAAATGACAAACTACAATTGTTAGTGAATGTAACGGGAGCATTTAGGCCAGGTGTCCTCACAGCATTGGTCGGTGTTAGTGGTGCTGGTAAAACTACCCTTATGGATGTTTTAGCGGGTAGAAAAACGGGTGGGCATATCTCGGGTCAAGTATTTGTTTCAGGGTACCCAAAAAATCAAGAAACATTTGCTAGGGTTTCTGGTTATTGTGAACAGAATGATGTTCATTCCCCATGTTTGACTGTTCATGAAGCACTAATATTTTCAGCTTGGCTTCGATTGCCTTCTGATATTAACATGGAAACAAGAAGGGTAACTACTTCAACTTGCTACATATCTTTAACAATTATCATCATTTGATGAAATTTCTGTGCCCTTTTTTTTTGTTTAATTTGAGAGTTTTAGTTGAGTTAATCACAAATATGACTAAAAGTTGGAAAGTCATATCACACAATAACCGCCCTTTCAACATTTATCACAAAAAAACAAGACAACCTATTTCGCGAAAAATACTTTGCTAATTTGTGAAATTGTTTTTTGTTTTTTCACAGAAAGTTAATGAAATAATAAAAATATCGGACTTGGCTAACATAGGGTGTGTTTGGTTGTGGAAAATTGTTTTCTTTTTTCTAGGAAACGTTTTCAGAAAATAGAGTTGAATTTTCATTTTTGGTTTTCAATGAAAATTGTAAAAAATGCGTTTGGTTGAAACCAGTGAAGTTTTTTATTTTTCATTTTAGAAATGTAGGAAACTTTGGAAAATTGTAAACATCACTTTTCTAAGACTCGAATCCACAACCTTTCCTAAGAATCCAAACACATTAACCAATTCTACTACACCCAAATTTCTTAAACTTCAAAGAAATACTTGTGTTACCCAATTTCTTGAACTTTTTTTCATCTCGAAAAGCACCAATTTTTTTTTTTTTTTTTTTTCCTCATGTTGCTTTCTTGAATAAAATAAGAATATCGCAAAATACGACACGAAACTTGTAGTGATTTATCGAGATGAGATTCCGATTTTTTTTTATTTGAATTTGATCAGGAGTTTGTAGAAGAGGTTATGGAGCTTGTTGAACTGAATCCACTAAAAGGTGCTTTAGTTGGATTACCTGGTGTTGATGGATTATCAACAGAACAAAGAAAAAGACTAACAATTGCTGTTGAATTAGTTGCTAATCCTTCTATTGTCTTCATGGATGAGCCTACTTCTGGACTCGATGCTAGAGCTGCTGCCATTGTTATGAGAACTGTCAGAAATATTGTCAATACTGGTCGCACCATTGTTTGCACCATTCATCAACCCAGCATTGATATTTTTGAATCATTCGATGAGGTACCCTTAATCTTAATCTTAATCTTAATCTTCATTCTTACTTTAGTTTTCACCTTCACTTCCAATTATCAATTTGTGTTGTAGTTGTTACTCATGAAACATGGGGGGAAGCTGATTTATGCTGGACCTTTGGGGACCGGGTCCCACAAAGTTATTCAGTTTTTTCAGGTTGGTATTTTATATTATTTATTTGCAAAATGGCAATTTTTTAAATTATTTTATTTATAGGGAGTAAAAGGAGTTTCCAAGATCCGATCCGGATATAATCCTGCTGCATGGATTCTTGAGGCCACTTCAACAACAGAAGAAAATCGACTTGGTGTAGACTTTGCTCAAGTTTATCGTCAATCAGATCTATATCTGTATGTCAATCTTTTCTTTAATAATACAACTCTCTAATTCGTAAATATTTCAAACTTTGAAAATCGGATGCTGTTAATATAATATACAAATAAAAGAAATTACTGTTTCGCCCTTTTCCTTTTTTTTCAGGCAAAACCAAGAATTAGTTGATAACTTAAGCAAACCAGATAGAAATTCAAGGTTGTTGACCTTCCCAACCAAATATTCTCAAACATTCTTAGGCCAGTTTTTCGCATGCCTTTGGAAGCAAAATCTATCTTATTGGCGGAACCCACAATACACAGCTGTACGCTTTTTCTACACCGTCATCATCTCATTAATGTTCGGGACCATGTGCTGGAAATTCGGTACTAAAAGGTATCTTATTTTAAATTTTTAGTAACAAGAACCAAACACTTCAAGTGTATTATTCAAATATCCAAAACCCAACGTTCCTTCCATTATTCTTGTTGAACAGGGAAACACAACAAGACATTTTTAATGCAATGGGATCCATGTACGCTGCAGTCTTATTCATCGGTATCACCAACGCCTCTTCCGTCCAACCAGTTATTTACGTCGAACGCTCCGTTTCCTATCGTGAAAGGGCGGCCGGAATGTATTCCGCCTTACCCTTTGCATTTGCACAGGTATATTGTCTTCTGTGTGGTCCCAAGCTTATAAAAGGAGTCCAAGGCTTTGGTTTCAATAAAATACACTTGAAGTGTTTGGTTCTTTTTTACTGTCGTGGATGACAATGTTTTATGTTGTCAGGTTGCGATAGAGTTTCCGTATGTGTACGTACAGTCGCTCGTCTACAGTGTTATCTTCTACTATCTAGCTTCGTTCGAATGGAATATGATGAAGCTTTTTTGGTACGTATACTTCATGTTCTTCACGTTGCTGTACTTCACTTTCTTTGGAATGATGACAATCGCTGTCACCCCCAATCACAACATCGCCGCCATAGTTGCCGCCCCTTTTTACATGCTTTGGAATCTTTTTAGTGGATTCATGGTTGTCCGGATGGTAACTCAACTCCTCTCGTTATTTATAATTTTTCTCAAATGGAAAATTATTAAGTAAATGAATGATATGTTTTGGGTTTTAAAACTACAGAGGATTCCGATATGGTGGAGATGGTATTATTGGGCTAATCCAGTGGCTTGGAGTTTATATGGGCTGCTGACATCACAATATGGAGATGTGGATGATCTTTTGAAACTTGCTGATGGGTCCCATTCGGTTCCATTGAAACAGTTTCTTGAAGATCAATTTGGTTACAGACATGAATTTTTAGGTGTTGCTGCAACTGCTGTGGTGGGTTTCTGTTTGCTTTTTGCACTTGTGTTTGCGTTTACAATGAAATCGTTCAACTTTCAGAGGAGATGAAGGCTTTTAATGGATCTTAGCTCTAATAAATGAGGTAAATTTTTTATTAAGTTTATGGTTCTTAGCTACCTATATTTCAGTTATTTGTGTTAAACCATTTCCAACTCATTACCCATTACATTATTTTTAAAACCAAACTTTTTTTTTTTTGTTTTTCGTTTCTAATTTATATATATTTAAACTACTATAATTTGGTAATTTGTATTATTAGATGACATATATGTCAATGGACTGATTTATTTAAATTTGTTTTTATGTTTTAAATGATTGAAAAGTAGTAAATCTTTAAAATAAGTTTGAAACATAAAAATTTAACTTAATGTATGCCATTAAATAATATAGATTTTTAACCTGTAATAAGATTACAAGTAGCAATGATATATTAGTTCATAAATCATTTTACAATTAAATAAACTAAAAATGCATGCATTCACGAAAGATCAATTTGTAAAACAAAAAAATGTTTAAATCTGGTGCAAATAAATAATAAAACACCAAATTTGAGTTGGATAAGATTAAACACCAAATAATTTGGTGTAAAACATAATTTTATTTTTAGCATCCTATTTTCATTTCTTTCTATAACAACATTTTACTTTCAATTTATTTTTCTTATTAAGGCATTGTACTTTGAAAAATCAACACAAGTATAACATTGCATTTTCATTATTATTATTATTATTATTTTTTACAAAGGATGTTATACCTTAAAAAATCTAACTTATAGCAGTGGAATTTGCTTTATATTTTGTTGACATTGTTATTTATAATTGTGTAGAGTTTTTTAAGTACAATATTACAATAAGAAGAAAAGAAAATGAAACCACATTATTATTTATTGCATTTAACCCTTCCTAAATCAACTGATGTTTGTTTTGTGTTGTATGCAGCTCGAATAATGCAATTTTGTTTCAACATAAATATACGAAAAAAGACTAGTGGAAGGATCGCGTACAGATGATAAAGTATAAATAATAATTATACTTTTTTATAATTTGAACAATATTTTGGGTTTGAGTTTTAGAGGGATTTATGTATTGTGGCTATTTGTATATGGTACTGAAATGGATTTTAGGGTTAAGTCATGTGATATCAAGATTTTAATTAAGTGTTCGAAACGGGAATTTTATAAGATCGATTATAAAATTATAAGTATCAAGTGTCTCGTACAGGAATTTTAAGAGGTTATAAAATTACTCACTGAAACAAAAGAAGGCATATGCGTTATGCGTACCCAATAGCTTTTTGATGGTTTGCACGTGATTTTATTCAATGCTTAAGAAAACTAAATGTTAATAACATAAAAATGGGTTTTTCATTGAACTTTTTGCATTTTTTTATTTTCTCAGAAAAACCCGTCAAATATGTAAGAAACTTTTTCGGGAAAAAACCCTTGCATTTATTTTCTCCGAAAAAACATCAAAAACTTTTTGCATTTTTTATTTCGGAAACACCCTTGCATTTGACAACTTTTTCGGGAAAAACTGTTAAAATTGTCAAATCGAAAAAATGCAATCTTTTTCAGGAAAAAAAAAAAAAAAAAAAGTTGAGATTTAATCGAAAAAACAATATATAAGGTCTTTAATGATACTAATCCAACACTGAAACTAATTATAAGATTTTATTCAAACTTTCCATTTGAAAGAAAATGTAGCAAATATGTAAGAAGAGTGGTATATAAGGCTATGTTTGACGTACAAGCTGAAAAGCTAGCTGGTAGCTGAAAAGCTAGCTGTTCAATAAAAAACTACCTGATACCTGCAAAGCTAGCTGATAAAAAATAACGTTTAGTAAAACTAGTTAAAATATATAAAATTACATAAAATAACATGTAGGAATATGTGTTTTTTATAATTAATTAAGGGTTTGTTTGGAAAATTTTAAAAAAAACTCCTAAAAAACTAGTCTAAGTTGTTTTTTCCAAAAAGATAACTTATAAGTTAGCTTATAAGCCTTTTGGTTTACCATACACGACAACATAAAAAAGCTTGAAAAATAAGCTAGTTTATCAGCTAGCTGTGGTGCACCAAACACAGCTTAATTATAATATTAATCACAGCTATAAATGAATAATATTACACAGAAAATGTTATTGTTTTTACACATGTTCAATTACTTTCAAAAGAAAAAAGAAAAACCTTTTAATAAAAAGATTAACAGTGAGTTAACTTAAATCTAAAGGTTGGATATTATATGACTGTTTCTACTACATATACAAAAGAGTGTTTTCTGCGAATACTAAATAAATAAAATCAGATACGATCAATTATAGAAAAACATGCTGCAGAAGATAATATTCGGAAATATACCAACATTTATTTCCCTGGAAACATTCTTATTTCACTTTATTGGCCAATTACATGTAAAACTATGACAAATTAAACAAGAAACTTATATTCGAATCAAGGATAGAGCCTTATCGTTATGTGTGGCTTTCAATCTTATATACTCTTTCACAAGCAAAGATCTGAAACACGGGGTCTTGATAATTAGACAAAGGAGCCAATGTAGACTCAATCGGAGGTCCATAAAAGTAAGCAACCGATATTCTGTGCTTTGATTGATTCACCATAGCTCGATGATAAACAACTGGAAATTTTGCATTAGAGAATATATGCAAAAGGTCACCTACATTCACCACAAATGCACCTTCAATGGGAGACACAGGACTCCACCCTAACCCTTCAACAAAGATCTCTAAACCTGTTATGCCATATTGGTTCAAAATGGTTAAGAGGAGGGAATCTGTGTGAGGTGCAAGACCAAGGGTGCCACTAGGATTAGGGCACGATGGGTATGAATTAAGTTGAAGTGCACCATTAGAGCCATGAGTTGAAGTTGCCCAATTTATTTCTTCTTGTGTTACATCTAATGTTTGAAGGCTTAGAAGTAAGAGTTTGTGGGCAAGTAGTTTCATTTGGTTTTGGTAATCATCCATGGTGTCACTACAATATTCATCAAGTAAACAAATTCATTAGTGATGTAAGCATTAATTAATGTACAAAATACAAGGCAATAACAAATCATAAAATATTGAATATGATGCACTATTAATCGGTGTTGCATACGTTGATTGTTTTAATTTGTAGTAGTAATATAATAAGTTAAGTAGATAGCTAGATAGGTGTTATATATTATATTGATATGAATATATATTGTAAATGATCACATATATAGTCTATAACATATATTGTATGTGTGTAGCTTTCAATATTTGTTACAAATATATTATTATACATAAAAAAGTATATTTATTAAGATCGGAATAATATTAGTAATTTAGTATTTTGTTTTAAAATGGTAACACATTCATTTTTCCCTTTAACTAGTGACAAAACAAGTGCCACTTGTGTTTGAAAATCGAGATCAATGATTTTATATATGAAAATGAAGAAAACAAAGAGATGATCGATCATCTGTTTAATTTATAATGAAAATATTTATAGTTGTGATGTAACATTCAGTAAAAAAAACTTTTTATTATTTTAGTAGTACAAAGTTTGGTACGATTTAAATGCATGAAATTAATATATAGATTAGTAGTTGCCGTTCAAAAAAAAACATGTAATTCTAATTTTACACCCCCTGAAAAAATGCATATTTTATGAAGCATTACATCACATATACGTGCATGAATTTGCATGAAAAGTTGAAAACTTTTGGTCAATAGTCAAACTTACCAAAATCTTTGGTAATCATGTGGCCAAAGAACCTTAGCATCATCAACACAAGAACCCATGATGGTGAATCCTTCATGCCACATACACTTCGCGAAGAAGGGCGATATCCTAGGCAAACCATAGCCCGTTGCTCCTGTCGGTGATCTCAACACTTTGCGCTTTTCGTGAGTCGTGAGAGCAAAAAGCCTCCGTGCTTCAAACTCGACCTTTTTGACCAACTCTAAGGGTACTCCATGGTTAATGACTTGAAACATGCCCCAAGTTTTACATGCTTGACCAATGAGATCTATTGCACAAGGATTGGAGAGGTCAATAACTGGAATCAATGAATCACGAGGGTTGTTGGTTTGAATCCTTTGAGGTGATTCATCGGACTGAGACCATAGATGGGAATCCGGGACCCCATCGATTGATTCAAAGTCAAGAGGGATGATATTGTGAGAGATGGTAATGTCATCATCATAAACTTGGGAGAGAGTGTTCATAATCACAAGAGTTTTTGAATCACTTTTATGATCAAAGGTAGATAAGAAGTGAACATTCTTATATATAGGTGTACTATACATATGAGTTGCCAAGGAGACATAACGGTGATCATTTGGTATTATACATTTCAAAATAGAATTGACCCAAATTTCAATGTCATAGGTTTTAACCTTGGGTTGGGGCTACTGTTCAAAAAATATATACGAATATATATATATATATATATATATATATATATATATATATATATATATATATATATATATATATATATATATATAGGGAAAAATGAATATACCCTTAAGAGTATATAAGCTTAGGTACCCAAACACACCATACTATATCGTTTCGTATCATATATAGTCATTGTAATTGTTCAGTGTTCTTATAATTCAACTTCTAACTTAAATTACTTTAAAGATTTTTATAAATTTCATGTTTATCTTACTCTTACATAATTGTCATTTTCAACAATAATATATATAGCTTAGTAAGTGTTCGACAAAAAGATGTGATGTAAGAGGAAGATAATAGTGAAAATTTAAAAATATTGAATATAAATCAAGTTAAGGATTGAAGTTTAACAATGTTATACTAAATATATTAAATAAAGCGACGTATTATTATGAGTTTGGGTACCTAAGCTTACATATCCTTAATGATATATTCACTTTTCCTATATATATATATATATATATATATATATATATATATATATATATATATATATATATATATATATATATATATATATATATATATATATATATATATATATATCCGGCAAACAATTACTTTTTAGAAAATTTTACTATATATATACAAAAACTCTTCTTTGTACGAGTTTCCAAATTAAGTTTGTCTTTTGGTTCATAAGAATTTTTACAAATCGTGTAACACGTTGATTTTGATGCATAAACTTCCCTTTTCTTATTTATGTTTGAACATCTTCCTTTTTCTTATTAATAAGGTTTTTTTTTCTTGAAAATTTAATTCATAGTTAAAAGCACTTAAATTATGTGTTAAGATCAGAAGCACACTTATTTAGTTAAGATAGAGCCTTAATTGAGTGTCTTCAATATTTCCGATCACTATACTACCAATGGAGTCCAAAATGTACCGATTGATGACGAGTTTTACTATGATTTTTAAGATGAAGTTTATTTAATATACAATTTTATACTAAATATTGCATGGCTCATTTACAAGATACTTTGAAGGGACTGAAGTTACAATAATATCGTCTAACTACAAAATATTTTTTACTAATATAAATGGGTAAAAGATTTAGAAATATGATATTGCAATTCAAAGCAATGAAAATAGAATTTAAAACACATAAATAAATATAACTGTGTTATATATTAAATAAAAGTAATAAGTAAAATACCACCTTAATAAATAATATGAAAAAGACATTTTTGTTGACGGTGTTATAATTGTTTTTTTCTGTCACCTAAAATACTTTAAAACCCTGATGGTCATATTATAAACAAAAATAAACATAAATTAAGTTAATAATGCATGTGGATTTGTAGTTGGCAATTTTTGGATCGAGTGATGTCTTGATGTGAATTTGGATGGTTTTGAAGCCACTTGTAAACAATGGAGGAGATAACGAAACTAAGAACAAAATATGACAAACTAAAACTGAATTGGGGGACTTTTATTATGCTACAATTTTGGGGAGTTCTCTTTGGACATTAACAAAATAGTAAAAGATTCGTCAACAGATGCAAAATATAATATAATTATTTGTAATTGGGAATTTTAAAATATTATTATTTGTTGTATGCAATCTAGAAGTACAAAATCTCGTTTAAAAAGAATGACTGTATACTCATCACTACATCTACACTTGTTGATTGTGAATATCAAAAACAATTTTATTATTATATATGTTATCCGTTGATTTAAATATGCATTGTAATTTTGTTATGAATATTAATTACATATATTCCTTTTTGCAGTGACATCTGTGACTTTTTGTCAGACGGACACAATCATCAATGATATATTAAAAATAGAACTATTCAATAAAATACCATATCGGTACGCTAGTGTGTTTACCACATGACTACGTTTTGGAATGAAAATTTCTATAAAAAAAAATCTTATATTTTAATATATATTTTAATATAGTTTATGAAAAATCTTAAACTAAATTTTATTTATAGAAAAACATGGTATATCGGTTAAACTTTGAAAAAATCTTTTGGTCGGTTTTGCATATTTAACTGTTATTTCGTCTTGTTTCATTAAATTTATCAAAATTTTATGACTTTTCTGAAGATTATCTTATTTTAACCAATGATCAAAATACTAAGACTTTTATGAATAGTCACTTTTCACTCTCAATGGATATGTGTCAGTCAATGATTGTTAGCATGTATGAACGATTAGGAGTAGTTATATTAAAAGAACATACGAGAAACACCAACATCAGATAAACACATATAGTGTGCAACCATGAAACTAACAACGATGCATATAGTGTGCAACCATGAAACTAACAACGATGCATATGAAGCAAAAACGGAGTACTTAGTTTACCTTTCCATTACTAGAAATCAACAACTATATTTTCATTTGTTCATAATAAAAAAAAAAGGATATGTTTGCATATGTTTTGATAATAGTAATATGGGTAAATATCATTGTAACTCAATCAACTATCAAGTTTTGTTTTAAAAGCTCCCTCGTCTTTTTTTTTTTGGTTCTCTAGGGGTATAATCTTGATTTTTACGGTTTTACAAGGTCCCTTTTAAGAAAATGAAGAGATCACCCGATGAACCCCTTCCAATTTAATAATGCAAAGTGCCACGTCATTTAATGAAACTTGTCATCTCTTAAATCTTTATCTCATTCTTCTCTATCTGTCTTCATGTTTAGATTCAAGTTCAAGAACACAACGTAAAAAAAACTTCCGATTAAACACTTCAACTAGTTTTTTGAGTTAAAAAAAAAACAAAAACAAACAAACTTTACATTACTACTTAAACTATGTAAGTAAACTCAGCAACAAATTCTTAAATTCCTTGTTGTGCATATATTTATTGCTCTCTTCACCTTCATCTGCGATGAGAGATCACATTCATCTAACATTGTTCTCACCATTTTCTTCCATTTTTCTTCAAAAACATCCTAAAATCACGAAATCCTCCATGCTTCGGACAAAAATGAATTCAAAATGAGGTTAATCGTCATAATTTTCAGAAAACAAGCTGTAAATAATGTGGATTTTCTTTTCGATCTTACCTTAATAGAATTAGCAAGCTTGTACTTATGCATGATCCAATTGGTTTTAGACCCGTTTTGGGGCTTTGCCTCTATAGAAGATCAAAGTTTTCTTCGAATAGTTATGTGTTGTGCTAAATTGGCTGAAAATAGATGCAATATGTATCCTGTGTGTATGGCCCAAAAGAAATTGGAAATCGAGATATAGGGGTTTCGATGGTCTATTCCCCTTTGAGTCATGAACAGAGCTATTTGTTGTTGTTGTGCGTGTCTCTCACTTCGCCCCTTCAATCGCTGGCTTCCAAGCAAGATGGCTTCCAACCTCCAAGCGATTTGGAAACCGTCTGCCATCTTCAACCTCTAACACCGCCACCAATCACCATCGTCTTCCACCACAATCGTCCACATACCTGAAAAACAATTCTAGGTTTGAGAAAAACGATTCCATATGGCTTCCAAGCAAGATTATCAATGAACAAAAACAAAAACACGTGAAAACGGAATGAACAAGATAGTCGAACCTATTGCGGACTCATGCCCTATGAACTCCGATTGCAGACCGACCATCAGTTTCTTCAGCCTTTGCGTAACATCCTTGTTGGGTTGTTGTGATGCTTCACTGAGTTGTACATCCATGTAAATTAGAATGAAGAATAGATTTAAACCGAGGATACCAAGTAAAGAGAGAAAACTAATAAGAATAAGGCTAATCTCTAAGGAGAAGGTCGATGAGAGCAAATCAGGAAGGTGGGTGTCTTGCTTGAACATGAACATAAAGTCTTATGTGGTGGGTGAGGATGCGAGTGACGTGTATTATAGTTTAATTTTCTTTTTATTGAAAAATGCTAAATCATTAAGTAGACCGGCAATTGCATGTCAAGTTCCTTTTTTAGCAGGTAAAAATTGATTTTATGCCTCTAAACTACAAAAAAAAAATAATAATAATAATAACATTAAGGACCTTTTAAAACAAAACCCGATAGTTGATTGCGTTACAGTGACATTTATCCTAGTAATATATACTAATTCAAGGATAATCTTAGAAAAGTCTCAATATTTTGGTTATTGGTTAAAAAACAGGGTAATCATAAAAAAAATCCCAATTTTTTTTACCAAATTAACGCAAAAAAATTAGAGACACCGCCTAAATTAACAAAATTGGCCAAAATGGTTTTTTCTATGTTTTATCCGGTATTTTGTGTTTTACTATACATAAAATTTAATTTGAGATTTTTCATAAATTAAGTTGAAATATTTGGATTTTACTGAATATTTTGTATACAAGTTGAGTATATGGCCCAAAAGTTCCACATAGAGGCTCGTGAGAAGAAGACGAACTGAGTTCATACTTATAAAATCATTTTTCACTGTTTTGGTACACTGTTCTACCATCGATCGAAACATCTCTATCTCTACAACATCTGTGAAACTTTTATTATGAATGATTCAAGTGAGTAAATGGAAGCGTTGCAAGTAAGTAATTTGTAATCTCACTTAACATCATATAAAGCTTGGATACACATCTCACGCGATCCTAAAAATGCCTCGCGAAATGTCATACTATCAGTTTAGTCATTTCTAATGACATTGTGGCTTCTTTTAAATAAGCCTACATTAGCTAGATCATAAATAAAAACATATTAGGGTTTAAAATTAATGTTACACGATTCAAGAAATTATTTATGGGTTGTTTAAAGTCTTTGCGAAGTGTCGTGTTCAAGTATTGTCTACCATACTACACTTATCACGAGTAATATGTATATAATAGATAAATAGGAAACATTAATGAATCAATAGCATATAAGGATGTTTTTAAAAAATTTCACAAGGTGTCTTTATTAACTCTTTTTACATATTTTCAAGGCACATGTTTTAAATTTAGTAACTTATTTTCTAGCCACGTCATTTTTTCTATCCACATGTTACATTTTATGTATTTTCAAAAGGGTTATTGTCACTATAGCCCAACAAAGTTACGTATAATCGTTTAAATGGTCCGTTGTGACTATTTTTTGCATTTTAAGGGCATAAACTTATTTTTTACCGATTGGGAAAGTCATCTTACCCATTTTAGCAGGTTAACCTACCTCGTTACTTGCCATATATACATATGAGGTAACCCACTGAGTCAATACCGAGTTGACTCGATGACACAGAAGCTGACACATGCAAAGACTAATTACCGTCTTTAATTTCCACCAACACCTCAACAACCTTACACTGTCGATTCAATTGAGTCTCAGGCACAAGTCTCGAATTATAAGGGGACATATGCATGTGGGGTTTGAAGTAAAACAAATCTGAAACTTGTTTACCATATTCGGGCAAACAATCCTCTGGAAGAACCCTTAAAAAGCAACAATGTCGGCTCCACCACCTTCACCCGACTCTTTAAATTCTGGTGAAGACATCAACTACAATGTGCTCCACTCAATCTTCTGTGATTGTGGTCCGAAGATTACAGAAAACCAAACTAAAATGAAAAGGTTGAAGGAGCAGCATGGATAGGAGTATATCGTTTGTAGGATCGACCACATCAGTTTCTAGCACAAGCTGGATGACCATGATCAGAAGTTTAAAGTCGTTGGTGTTGCTATGGGTGGCATGATGGTGGGGATCCTTTTGTTGCTGGTGGTTGTGCTCCATTTCCTTGTTAAGCTTGGTGATGGGTTGATTTGCAGCTAAGGCAATTCATGGTTAAGAAGGCTATTAGTATGTAGTGTTCGTGTTTTTTTTTTTTTTGGTATTTATGTTTTTTTTGCTGAAATATGTAAAAGACCTCTTTAAATGACAAGCATTTTGTAAGTGAAATCAAATAATTAATGAAAGACCTATCTAAATAGTAGGCATTTTGTAAAGTTGGGTGATGTTCTTTGCTGATTGTTTTTTTTTTTTTATCTTAATTAGTTGTTAATTTTCATTGAATAATCTGTTGAAAGTGTAATAGAATTACAAAGAAGGAAAAAGTGGGGATGTTATGGACCCCAATTGCCTTGCATAGTGGGGGTATATAGTCTTTTACATGTACTACCCTTTCATATATACCAAGTTGTTTCATTTTAGCACATTGTTTTCTTCTTCAAATAATCTCCACTTTGAAGGTACATAATGAAGAACATGGAATGTGGATGTGGAGTTGAGGCTATAATAAGAACATCTCGTACTACTAATAACCCATGAAGGCCCTTTTATGCATGCCCGAAAAAGGTAATTTACCATTTATTCAAATTCTGATGTTAACCCTATTTTTTTCTAAGATGTATTAATTCAAGCAAATAGTTTGAATCAAGATGCTCGTTTAGGTTTTATAGCTTGGGTTGATGAAATGTAGTGCAACAATGAAGGTGTGATCATAAATGGGTTGTTTAAGTCGAACAAAAAGCTTCAAGTTGAGGTCTTTAAGTTGAAGGTTTACCTAATATGTAGTTGGGTATTTTTTTCTGTTTAATCATGTACAAGTTGTAATGAAGGTCAATTGGACCACTTGTTATGTAACTTGTAATGCACTTTGATGTGTTGTGAAACTTGTAATGTACTTTATTTCGTTTAAGTTGTTATGTAACTTGTAATGTCCTTTATTTTGTTTAAGTTGTTATCTTTTAGCTTTGATGTGTTTTGTATGCATGAAATATGAACAAGCAAATTAAACAAATTCAGTTACAACACAACCAAGTTAAAACATAACAACTTGTCCAAATCCAAACTTGATAACCTACTACAACCCAATTCCAAACTTAACACTTAAATCCAACCAAACACAACCAAGTTAAAAGATAACAACTTAAACGAAATAAGATCTTAATCATTAAGCTCCAATGGGTTTACACTGATATCTCCTTTCCTATCTTTGCCCTTCACCCTCTTAGCAAGTTTCATCTTTATGATTCTCTCTGATTTCTTTCTTTTACATCTCCTTCCAGAAGCAACACCTTCTGCTCCTTGACCCTTTTTCCCTTCATGCACTGATTTTGCTCCTTGACCCTTTTGCCCTTCGTTGACACCTCCTACTCCTTCACCTTTTTCATTGACACCTCCTGCTCTTTCACCTTTTTCATTGACACATGTTATCCTTTTTTTAACATTTAGTTTAGGCCTCCTACCAACTTCAGGTTTTTGCACTTGAGGTCTTTCAACTTGAGGACATGTGACCTTGTTATGCCCTACATTTTTACAAACACTGCATGATATTTTTTTCCCTGACTTAGACACAATATGCCTTGGTAGCTTCTCTGATGCATCTCTTCTTCTGTTAACCTTTGGTCTACCTGGCATTCTTCTCTTCATTGGTGTAAGAGGTGGCAGAAGTCAGTAGGTGGCCACATATTGCTACCATCCCCTGAATTAGATACTTATAGGTGTTCTTGTAGATTGCTCCATAGAACATTGTATCAACATAACCACCAACATCTCTATTGAGAAATGATATATTTTCAACTGAATGCACGCATCCATACTCATTAAGTTGCCACACTCTACAAGTGCAAGTCTTCTTGTCCAGGTCAATAGCATAGGACTCAGCCATGTTTCTTGTTTCAAATTGGTTTAGACCACTTGGTAAATCATGCTAATACCTAATGTAGACATAACATAAGTAATTACATACAATTATGAGTTTAAAGATTAGAAAGTACCTTTGAGCTTTTTTTTAATTAATTCAGTAGGAGTGTAATTGCTAGGCAAGGCATGTAATCAGGCCATGAACTACCTTTAATCTTTAAATTGTATATTCTCTCCATAACATACAATCTAATCTCCTCTAACATGGTGATGATTGGATTTTTCCTAGCATCCCTTATCATACTGTTGAAGCTCTCAGATAGGCCATTCTCCACGGCATCACATATCTTTCCCTCTTGAAAAAATGCTCTACTCCAAGATTTGGGGTTTGTTTCCATAAGATAAGCAAAGGTTGTAGGGTTAAGCACTTCAATCTCCTTCATGGCAGCATTGAATAAAGGCTCGGTGGATGCCTTGATTACCTTCCAAAACATGGTTTCATAATGCACACCACTGAATCTTTTCCTAAAGTTGGCAAAAATATGCCCTGCAGACTGCCTATGTTCAACAGTAGGCAGTATTTCCTTCACAGCCTCTAACAGCCCCTTGCAACAATGATAACATGTTATATAAAATGAGATTATAAATAATTAAATTAGGAAGTAAAACAACTTACCTTATGCTGATCTGACATTAATATTATACCAAAACCATTATCCAGTTGAAGGTCATCTCTAAGGTTTTCCAAAAACCATTTCCAATTTTCTTTGTTCTCTACACAGACAACTGCCCATATAATTGGAAATATGTGATTATTGGCATCACTTCCTATAGCACATATTATCTCTCCACTACATAAGCCCTTTAAGAAACATCCATCTAAATTTATAACCATTTTGCAACTCCTTTTTCACCCTTGCTTAAGCCCATCAAAACACAAGTAAAGTTTGCTAAAATAATTCTTACCATCTGGCATAGATTTGACATCAATTTTGACTGTTGATCCTGGATTTGATCTTCTAATCTCCTCACCATATGACCACAACTTTGCATAGTGCTCCACTAGTGTTCCTTCAGTCAATTCAATTGCATACGTCTTTTCTCTTCTACACTGTCTCATACTCACATCTATACCAAATTTCTCTTTAACCTCATCCCTAAGTAGCCTCACACTAACCTTTTGTTTCTGTAAGAATTGTGTTGTGTAATGGATACCTACCCATGAATAATTCAAAATTAAACCTAACTTGAAGTTTCTTGCACAATTATGC